AAATAAGAATTGTTGTGTTTTTGTTGCCTTAGAATGAGCTGTTTACACTCACTGGGCACTTTGCTAGGTACACCTTGATAGTTCCAGGCTGCACCCCTTTTGTCCTCAGAATGGCCTTAATTCTTGGTGTCATAGATTCAACAAGGTGCTGGAAACATTCCTCAGAGATTTTGGTCCATATTGACATGATAGCATCACACAGTTGCTGCAGATTTGTCGGCTGCACATCCATGATGAGAATCTCCCGTTCCACCACATCCCAAAGGTGCTCTATTGGACTGAGATCTGGCGACTGTTGAGGCCATTGGAGTACAGTGAACTCATTGTCATGTTCAAGACACCAGTTTGAGATGATTTGAGCTTTGTGACATGGTGCGTTATCCTGCTGGAAGTAGCCATCAGAAGATGGGTACACTGTGGTCATAAAGGGATGGACACGGTCAGCAACAATACTCAGGTAGGCTGTGGTGTTTAAACCATGCTCAGTTGGTACTAAGGGGCCCAAAGTGTGCCAAGTACACCACCACCAGCAGCAGCCTGAACCGTTGATACAAGGCAGGATGGATCCATGCTTTCATGTTGTTTACACCAAATTCTGACCCTACCGTCTGAATGTGGCAGCAGAAATCCAGACTCATCAGACCAGGCAACGTTTTTCCAATCTTCTATTGTCCAGTTTTGGTGAGCCTGTGTGAACTGTAGCCTCAGTTTCCTGTTGTTAGCTGACAGGAGTGGCACCTGGTGTGGTCTTCTGCTGCTGTAGCCCATCTGCTTCAAGGTTGGACGTGTTGTAGGTTCAGAGATGGTCTTCTGCAGACCTTGGTTGTAACCAGTGGTTATTTGAGTTCCTGTTGCCTTTCTATCATCTTGAACCAGTCTGGTCATTCTCCTCTGACCTCTGGCATCATCAAGGCATTTTGGCACTGGATATTTCCTCTTTTTCAGACCATCCTCTGTAAACCCTAGGGATGGTTGTGTGTGAAAATCCCAGTAGATCAGCAGTTTCTGGCACCAACAACCATGCCACGTTCACAGTCACTTAAATCACCTTTCTTCCTCATTCTGATGCTCAGTTTGAACTTGACCGTGTCTACATGCCTAAATGCATTGAGCTGCTGCCATGTGAATGGCTGATTAGCTATTTGCGTTAAGGACCAGTTGAACAGGTGTACCTAATGAAGGGGCCGGTGAGTGTATATCCATATAGGGAGCAGGTCCGTTTCCATGGAGATTGCCACATTGCACCACTATGTTTCTACAGTAGCCCAGGATGGACAAACCAAACACTGACTCTAGTTAGAGCCATTCTTGTTTTCACGTCAGCCACCGCAGCTCCTCTGTGACGAGAGCATCAGAAAAACATTGATTTGGTGACATGAAGCTGCTTTTTTCAGTGTTTTTACCAGTTTTAGTCTGTTTGTTTTGGGGAGGAGACCTTTTCGGATAATTCGGTTCCCATTAAAAACTTCCTGAACATTTGGATCAGAAATAAGGAGAGCCAGATTACTGTGTGTTTAAAGATGCGGCAATGCTGTCACTAGTATAAATGTAAGGGATGTATTTTTATCATTCTCAGTTGAGTGGCGGAGAATCTGGTACCAAGATTTAGATATGTATCCCATCCTGAGGCATATTGGTGCTCAAAACTCTATCTCAGGATTAGGTAGCAAAAGTATGGTTTGAGCCTCGGGTTGAAGGTGGTAATTTGGTCAGATAAATCACCTCATTATCACAATGAAACATGAGGACAAAATCCTGTTATTTTTTATTTATTATTTATAGATTTATTATCTTCAAAACCTCAAGACTATCTATATGTATTTTATGTGAGGTATGTATTCCAGTGTACCTGCAGAGCTCAGCTGCTGTGTGTATTAATGGTCTCATGCTTCCCTCTGGTGGTTACAGTGAGAATGCTTTCTCCAAAACTGACCTTTTTCATGTTGGATATTTTGACTTGTTGAGGCTACAGTACAATCTAAACCTGTGCTTTTCCTACGTTGACATGTCAAAATGTCAAAGTATGCATATGGAGGGGTTTGGATGACTAGTGAGTAGCATTAGTATATTGATTTTTTTTTTCTTAGGTAATGTCACAGTGATGTATGTAAGCCAGATGGTGGCACAGTGGTTGCCACTTTCCCCTCACAGCGAGAGGGTGGTCCTAGGTTTTAAACTGAAGACTAAATTCATGTGTGAATGAGAATGATAGACCGGCAACCTCTCAAGGATGGACCCTGCTTCAAGCCCAGGGGTGTCCAAACTTTTATGAATGGGAGTCAGATTAGATAATGTGAAAATACTTGCAGCCAGCTTCTTCTCACATAATACAAGTTATTAAAAAAAATCTCATACAAACGAGACAAACGCAACTGTTTCATCTTTCAGTGAAAAAGTATTCAACTTCACACCTCTCATGAAGGCAGCAGCCCTTGCAGTCAATTTGACACTTCTTTGCTGTGGCCATTTCTGTTATCTACACTGACAACCCCAGTTCGCTCACTCAACTTACATTTTTTTGGAAACAGCTTGCACTCAAAACTTTTAGTTTAGTACAGTACGGTGACATAAAAGTTTTGAGTGTTCCAGACATAAAATAAATGTAGCACGTGATCATTGCCTTGCAGGAATTTTATGTCATTTTAACATAACTTTATGGTGTTCTTGTATGCGCATTAAAATTATGTCATAGAAACTTCAAGTACACATTATACTACTGCTATTTTACATTTTATTGTTTTATAAACATTATTGTGGTGAACTCTGGTGTCTTTATTGCAAGAATGACAGGCATAAGATTAAGTCTGAACTGGGAAGTCCTTCACATTTCTCCTTAATACAATTCTATGTTATTACCTTATTGGCCACACAGATGGGATGTCACTAAATGTGTATATGACCTAACTCATGGTGTAAAATCTCTTTTACCACAACAATAAGTGTGACCCATTAGAACCATTTTGAAATACAGAAATATTAATCAATGTGTAATGGGTAATGTAAGTGGCCGTGAACACATTGTCTCATGGCATGCTGGGAAACTCCACTCATTTAGCCCCAACACACCACAGTATGTTAAGTGCACAATGGTAGTATTGTTCATTGGTCTTAAACTAATTAGGCGAAATCGGCTTTATGATTTTTAGTCAGATTAACTCAAAATTCTACAACAGTTGACTTCATATAGAAAAGATATGTCCAGACCACAAGGGATGAGTAGGTTGTGTCAAGTGAACATAAAGTTTTTAAGTCATTTTGAGAATCTGGGGCATTTGTGACTTTGCAATAAAATTTTGCGTCATGGATGGATTGGGGTTTACAGTGGAGTGGAAAATGTCTGCCGTTAGGTGGCCATTCGTTTGCTTGTTTGCTGTCTGTTTATGAAAACACATTAATTCTGCGTGGGTAGTTCCTGGTTGGTGCATGTCTACAAACTGTATGTTAGTCCTGCCATTGTGAGGTGAGTGGAAAAAGTGTAAGTGATCTTGATTGATTAACCAATAATGTGTGAGGACACATATAGTTTATTTTGAATAACGACCAGAGGACCGTTTAAAATTGGCCTGCGGGCCACGATTTGCCCCCAGGTGTAAGTATAGTCATTGAAGGCAGTGCAGTTGCGCAGTTTGTTTTTTCTTTCTTTGTAAAATAGTCAATCACATCTGTAACAAAATTATATGCTTATTCTGCAACTATAAATCAACTATTATGTAAATCAAATATTCTTTAATTATATATCAGCTATTAAAATTGTTAAATTAGATTAATAATTTCTTAGATATTTTTTGTTATATAAAGATATGAAATGATGATAGCTAGTTAATATGTATGTTGATGTTATCCAATGTCATGTGAGGAGATGGTATGTGCACAATAGCATGCACTAGGGCCTGTCATAATAGCATGGGCTGGGGCCCATCGTAACTACCTTATACCACTACCCCAGGCCAGACTTTGGACATGCCTTTGAAAATAGGCTACTCAAGTAAAGTACAAGTACCTCAAAACTATACTATAAAGTATTATTAATTCAATAAATTAGTAAATAAATAAATAAATGAGTACAGTATTTAAGTAGGCAAGGCAAGGCAAGTTTATTTGTAGAGCACAATTCGTACACAAAGTAATTCAAAGTGCTTTACAAAACAAGAAAATGCATTAAAATCACAATACAAAATAAAAACATAAATAATCATTATAAGATAAGATCCTTTCAGTCATATGCACAGTGAAATAGAGCTGTTTTGAGCCTAGATTTGAACATTGTAAGAGTAGAGGCCTGTCTCACATCTTCAGAAAGACTGTTCCAGATTTTAGCTGCATAAAACTGGAATCCTGATTCCCCATGTTTAGTCCTGACTCTGGGCACCAGCAGGAGGCCGGTCCCTGAGGTCCTCAGAGTCCGAGATGGTTCATATGGCACTAACATGTCAGAGATGTACTTTGGTGCTAGGCCGTGGAGAGACTTGTACACAAGCAGAGCTGCTTTAAAGTCTATTCTCTGAGCCACAGGAAGCCAGTGTAGAGACCTGAGCACAGGACTAATGTGCTCGTGTTTCCTGGTTCTGGTCAGGACCCAAGCAGCAGCATTCTGGATGTACTGCAGTAAAGTAAATTTTCTTTGTTACATTCCCTCATTAAAATTGTCCATACTGTGTATATCTATACTCAAACTAAAAATATTTTCCATATTTAAATAAAAATACAGGTTATTAGATTCAGGTGAACTTAATGACCCTTTAAGTTGTAGTTAATAATAGGCTATGGCGGGTGCAGCTTTAATGACCGTCGTGTTTATCCGACAGATTATTGTTTTTCTTGTTACATAATTATTAAACTGCTTATTATAAAAAAAAATGTTGTCGTTTAGCCAAACGTTTTACGAGGCAGGAGGGTGTCGTTATGTTCCGCCACTCTTCGGCACTTTCCGCCTTTCTCCGTCCGCACGTCGGCCATTTCCGGCCAGTGTCGCCATCTGCTTTCTCGTCCTTCTCCAATCTCCGTGTTGTTGTTCCCGGTGACGCGGCGGAGGTGTAGCCTGACGCGGGCTCTTACGTGTCGGCCAGAATAAAAGTGGAGCTCCGGAGGCCCGGGAGTGACGAAGGGAGTCTGTATCGGTAAGGACGGAGCAGTGTCCGGGTCTCAGGGAGACGGCGACGCGGCCGTTAGAAAGTGTCGGTCTGGTCGGGTTCGGCCCGAAGGAAACAAAGAGATCATGGCGCCGCGGTGTGTTTGTAGCAGGATGGAGGGAGGGGAGGCTGCGGCTGTTTGGGGCAGAAACGGAGCTAATACGCGGCTTTGACAGTGAACCAGGAGGGACAGTGTGTGTGTGAACACACCAGGAACCGTGACAGGACTTTAGCCTTGTTAATACACCCAAATGTCAGATGGTGCTGTAACCTTTATACATTTATGCGCACAGATTTGCGCTGTTTTCCCGTAAACAGCGCATTGAACCCACCATTCACGATATGTCTATTTATTCCTGCTGCTTGCTCCATTTATTTAATCTTTGCGATCTTATGTGGATTATTTCTGATTCAACATGTGCTCACCTTGTCAATTATTATCTTATTGTTATTATTATATTAATTTTCGTGGTAGATATGGGCCATATGCAGGCCGTCGCGTTCACGTGCACGTTGTAAACATAAACACCGGGCCTGAAGATTTAACTCGCATCATGTTGTGTGTGTGAAGTTTGAATGGCTGGTTATCTCCCGGGATGTGACCGGTGTGTGTGCGTTGAGGGGGCGTTGCCCGGCCATGTGGCTGTGCTGTCACACAAGTGATTTTTGAAAAGCAGAGGGAGAAATGTGTAAAGCCAATCATGCAGCGGAGAGAAGCTACGCACAGTGTGAGATCACTGAACAACACGTCCCCAGATCAACAATCACTGTAGCGCCTGGAGTCAGACCTGAGAGCCTCTGCAGATTATTACACTGATAATAAATGTGCAGTTAGATTGGTGCAGAGTTAGTTCATTAGTTTATACTGTTTGGTGTTTAGTTTGAATCCCAGAGGTTGAGACAACTAAATACATTTATTCATTTACTTATGAGGTACTTGTACTTTAAGATAATGTAGGATAAATTCTTACTAATCCTAAGTGGGGAAATTGGAGTGTTGAAGCAGATCAATGACAAAAAAATAATTACAGATTCACACAATAAAAATAAATAGAAGTATATAAAACTAGATTAGACTAAAAATTACAATGCAAACAGAGTTGTATTTGAATTATTGGTGCAATACTGTCTCAAGCAAGGGGACATTGTGTCGTGATGTAAAGTTATAAAATCAGAATCAGATATATGTTATTGATTCCCGAGGGGAAATTGTGATTCGTTACTGTCGCTCAGATGTAAAGAATAGAGAATTATAAGAAGTAAGAAAAAGAGTATGCAATAGAAGTATTTAAATATAAAGCAATATAATAAAAATGTGCATTATGCTACAATGTCTAACACTAGTACTTAAGATATTAAAAATAAAATATAGTTTAAGCACAGTGACGATATATATAAGTGTAAATCAGGATCAGACATACTTGATATTAATAATTATAATTATTATTATATGAATAATTGATCACCAAGTGGAAATTTTGATTCATTACAGTCAATGATGTACAGAATAGAGAATTATAAGCAATAAGTATAAGAGTATGAGATAGAAGTATATAGATATAAAGCAATTAAATAAAATAAAATAGAAATACAAATGTGCATTCGAAACAAAATGTGCATTATACTATGGTGTTTGATAACAGTACTTAAGATACTAAAAGTAAAATATATATTGTCACTGTGCTGAGACTAAGTGTGTAAAAAATATACAAATATGTGCATTGTTCTACATTACACTGTATAAACTAGTGCTACAATGAGAAATATAAAATATGTATAATGCTACAATATATACATTAATAGAATAAGAATAACAGGGTGTCTACAGGGCCTGAAGTAAAGTTTCCTTAATATAAGGCCTTAAAAAGTCTTAAATTCAGATTTAATGGGTCTTTAATGGTTTCGGTCGCCTCTTTTACCGCAACCTGACCCTCAATGAAAGTGATGCATTCAGTGTATTCTTGTTAATAATTATGGCTGGCCATTAAAAAGGTCATTCACACCGCTTAGTTTAAAAAGTGTCTATTACAGGAGGAAGGGTCATGTGATGTCACAGAGGAGCCAGTCTCCCTGTCACCGTCTGGCTTCTTCCTCCTGAACATGTTGGTTGTTGTTGGTCATGGTGGCATTAGTATGTAAACAAGAAGAGAAACCTAAGCTGTCCCTCTGAATGCCTTATTGTTGTTTTGTATTTCTGCTTCACAATGACTTGCAACACTGTTGAAAGAATGCTGCCTTTGTTTCACCTGATTACATTTTGGATAACGTTCAGCTTTTGGAGCCCAGTCGGCTCTTTATCAGTCGCAGATGGGATTTCTGTCAAAACTCAGAGTTATAAAATGATCTCTCTGCCTTTTTTGGAGGCTTTTGACTTTAGTGAAATCTTGTCATCAGCAAGAAATAAAAAAACTATCAGCACACAGAATCTACTTGTGTGTTTTTCAGTTTGTATTGTTTGCTGTGTTTGCAGCACACACACCATCTGGGATGCAGATACTTCAGATAATGCAGCTGCTGTGAGGGTCAGTGTTAACATCTTCTCTTTAATCTTCATCCTCAGCTTAGCCGATGAAGATGGAGTCAGTGGAGGTTCAGCAGGGAGTGGAGGCTGCTGTGACTGAGGCGGAGACCCATCAGATCGCCCAGGCACAGATCGCTACTCTGGCACAGGTAACAGAGGACGTCAGCGCCATTAGGTGTTGGGAAAGTAGTGAATTCAAAAAAAATTTGAATGCCACAAATGTGCCAAAAACAAAATAGTTCAAGTGTACATGAATCACCTCTGATTTCAGGTAACCATGACAACAGGCCACGCCTCAGCAACAGGTCCCACAGTAACACTCGTACAGCTTCCCAACGGACAGACGGTTCAGGTCCACGGTGTGATCCAGGCTGCACAGCCATCTGTTATCCAGTCCCCACAGGTCCAGGCTGTACAGGTGAAACACATGTGAAATTCTAGTTTTAGGTGTTTCATAGCCACAATATGAAGAACATATGCAGTGTTTTTCTGTCTTCTTTATCGGTTTGTTTGTTTGTTTGTTCCAGATCTCCACCATAGCAGAGAGTGAGGATTCACAGGAGTCAGTAGACAGTGTGACTGACTCCCAGAAGCGCAGAGAGATTCTGTCACGACGCCCCTCATACAGGTCAGTGCAAAACTTTGAGGAGATCACCAAGATGATCAGGATATTTCATAACTAAATCAAACACTAAAAATTTGGTACTTTTTGGCTACATTTGTATTTTTAAAGGGTGTTCCCCTGCATTAATAGCACAAACTACAACACAAAACATTGGGTGTCCTAAGTACTATATCGGAGGCAATTGGACTTGCTTGAGTTTCTTAACAACGTTTCACCTCTCGTCTAAGAGGCTTCCTCAGCTCTAATGTCTGGTGCAGAGTAGCAGGCTTTAAACCCTTTGTGCATATGATCCCTTACAAAGTACTTGAGGTCACATGTGAGCTCTGGGTTTCAGAGTCATTAAGATGCCTGAGGTGAAACATCTCCAAGAAACTCAAGCAAGTCCAGCTGCCTATAATACAGCACAGGACATCACATGGACAACATGTTTTGAGTGACTCATACAGTTCTTTGTTCCAACAGGAAAATCCTGAATGATCTCTCGTCCGACGCACCTGCTGTCCCTCGTATCGAGGAGGAAAAGGCTGAGGAGGATTCATCTGCCGCTGCTGCAGCTGCCACACCTTCGATCACCACAGTGACTGTGCCCACGCCCATCTACCAGACCAGCAGCGGCCAATACAGTAGGTGATGGAGGGTTGGTGGAGCTGCAGGTTGATGTGATTCAAAGATCATAATTTGGGTGGTGAACTCCACCCATCACACCTTGTTCAAACTTCACAGCTTGTGTCACTATTAAGGGCTAAAACACCCAAATAAACAAATTTAATTCTTCAGTTGGCATAATAAGATAATAATAAAAGTAAAAGGGTTATCATTTTACCTTTATCTTTATTCCTTTCACTTCATCACGGTATGATGCTCTGAGCGCAGACGCGCTGCAGCCTCATCCATGTCTTTAACAGGAGTCGTTTCTGACTCGTCAGAACTTGCCATTTCATTCACAAATTAACATCCAAAAACATCATCAAAACATTTAGAAACAGTTTTCCTTCTTTCTGACTTAAAGTTACTTCATTAATCAACTCAGGTTCAAACAAGTTCATCCACACGGACCGTACGTCACCGCTCTCAATTGTTTGGCCACGTCGGACAAAATGTAGCCAAATAAAAAATCAGAGTCTATCAAGAAAACAATCAGCGGTGAAATTTGTTTCAAGACACTTCAGGTAAATGAATAATCCTTCAAAAAAGTTTGATTTGAGAGCACATACCTCCTCCAAAGTGTTTGTTTATGCGCTCCGCCACCGTAAATCACCGTAGGCCTCGATGGTGCTCTGATGGTCCTGCAGCGCACTCACTCACCTCAGCTTATTTGGATTGAGCAACTGGGTGATTTATTCATGCATAGTAATGATTATGCCTACTGATTAAACGCACGCGTCATTTTCAGTTTTTTATTAACAGAAATTAGGCTGATGTTTGTATCAAAATAGGCTATATATCATGAATTACTAGAAAACAAATACATTCTATGTCAAATCAAGATGTTCAGCAGCAGTGAGCACCCCCATATAGGCAGAATGGTACGGTCTTGTTTCATAACCACATTTTGCGACGATTCAACGAACAGTAAGGCCAGACAAGAGCAAGACAACAGTGATAATAAGCAAATATTAATGAAAAGAATAAAAGCAGTGAAAGAGTGATAATAAAAAGAGAATAAAAATAGATCAATATATCAGATTATTTCTTGGCTACTGTGTCATTTTCCTTTTCTTAGATGTGAGTAATTCTCTCGTTTGTTCCCTCTCACCAAACACACAGTTGCAATCACACAGGGTGGGGCCATTCAGCTGGCTAACAATGGTACAGATGGAGTCCAGGGCCTTCAGACTCTCACCATGACAAATGCAGCAGCCACCGCCCAGCCCGGAGCCACCATACTCCAGTACGCACAGACCAGTGACGGCCAGCAGATACTGGTTCCCAGTAACCAGGTGGTGGTGCAAGGTAAGAGTGAGCTGTGTTAATGAACTGGTGTGTACAGAAGCAAGTGGTATCTGATATTCAGCACCTAGATCCATGGTCATTTTCAGATGTTGGCAGCAAAAAAAAAAGGCACTGTTCTCAATCAACCTAACAAACGGGTGAACTTGATTGATTCTCCGAGTCAAAGTGGATCTCTCTCCACCAAGAAATAAAATGTAACATCCACCTTTCAGCCGCCTCAGGTGACGTCCAGGCTTATCAGATCCGAGCAGCCCCCGCCAGCACCATCGCCCCAGGGGTGGTCATGGCCTCATCCCCTGCCCTCCCCACCCAGGGCGCTACTGAGGAGGTCACCCGCAAACGGGAAGTCCGCCTCATGAAGAACAGGTAAGAACACCAAGGGATTTTGTGTCATTGTACGTTTGGTCTCAATAGTGGCTTTGCTGCTGCTTCAGAAGGTTAACGACAGAAATATGTCTCAATGTACAGTATAACAGGCCAGCCTGGGTTTCAACAAGGGTTTTTATTTATTAAAATTGTCACACTAGTGGCCCCAAATCCCCCCAAATTGAATAAGCGAGACAAACTGTGTGTTATCCCTCCTACAGAGAGGCAGCTCGCGAATGTCGCAGGAAGAAGAAGGAGTATGTTAAGTGTCTGGAGAACCGAGTCGCCGTCCTGGAGAACCAAAACAAGACGCTAATCGAAGAACTGAAAGCCCTTAAAGACCTTTACTGCCATAAATCTGAGTAGCTGTGTCCTGAACAGCGAGCTGGGCCAAGTAGCATTTCAGTTCTCTTCAAATACTCCGACTGTTTCAGCCTGCCTGGCCTTCCAGTTTGCACACAGCTGGTTCAGCCTAATCCAGTTCTGCTTACACTATGTTATCTTCAGTAACAATGAATTTAAAACACACTAAACCTTTCCCGTATCAGAACATTAAAACCCCTGTGCGTACTGTCACCCAGGTCTGATGTTAGACAAGTGCCAACTGAAACTTTAAGTCTAAAACAGAAGCTGCGATCCCGAGCCTGCGTCTTATTGTCGTAGATTTGGCTTATACCCAAATAAGTTAGTGTAACGCTGTACTCATCACGGCCTGAGGTTCTATCAACCATCTACATGTTGTCCTAGCCAGAGTACAACAAACAAAATGGTGCACAACCTTCTGATGCAAATGGTTCATACTGTTTTTACTGGGGTACAAACTTTTGTCAGCTCTGCTCAGACCTCAAGTGTTGTTTTTAAGGTGTTGAAAATCAGTCTGAAGCACGTAATTAATTGGCCTTGTTGGACTCCAATCAAGCATTTGCGTAAGCAATAATGCCCAACAAGTTGTCCTTGAAGCCACTGTTGCTATGGTTACCTGCAGTTATGTTTAAGGCGTCCTTGTATGTGATTTCATGGACGGCTTCCAATTATTCATGGATGAATATGTCCTGTTGCAGTGGTGAAACTTTACTTTGACGGTGGTGAGTGGCCAAAATTATGACAACAAGACCCAGCTTGTAAAAAAAATGCAGTGATTATGAAGTCTATTTGTTGCATTGAAAGTATGTTCAGAACATACTTTATCCTAAAAACATTTGTGGACTTAAGATTGGGACATTTCCATATCAGACGAGCTCAGTCAGTTGCAGTTAAAGGCTTTGAATGAATTATGAATCTCTACTTGATCCACATGATGTGAACCAACTTTTCAAATATATGGCTTCTTGTATAGCGGACTCTACAACTGATTAGGCACAAACATGTCATTTTTTAAGGGTTTTTAAAGATGCTACCAACTGCCAGTCTTTTAGGAAGTGGAGCTCTGTGTGTAAGCAGACAGTAGATTGTTTTTAAGTTAGTCTCCTGCACAAGAGATGCTGTTAAAATGAGATCATTACCAAGCTGAAGCACAGTTTAAAAGCAAGATTATTTTTTTTACAACCTGCGGTCACATCCTTATAGTTTTGGCCAACATTTCTATTAGTTATGCAAACATTTTACACACTAGCCAAAGTCCAGTGGGGCAGCAACGCAAAGGGCCGTGTTATTGATATCACATTATTTGGAAGTGAAATTATCACCTAACCTGGTTGTGTCTAAAGCCTCGTTTCCACCAAATACTTTCGGTATGGTACCTTTGGAACCAACAGTAACCCTTCAGACATGGTACCTAGACCCTAGCGATTCCACCGCAAACAGTGCTCTTAAATGTGGGCGGGGATGTAAAACAGGCTGCAGTGAGAGTCTCTCTCCATGGGATATTTATATAGTGAGTGTGTGGATTTAGTCCTGTTCTGGCAAGTGCAGGGGTTTAGTGTTGCCGGAGCCCACAGGAACGATGCTCCGCAATGATTTTTTTTCTCCAAGTGAGGATTAGAATATGTGCAGTTCACATAACCTGGTCGAAATTAATATATATAAACGCTTGAAGATCCACTCGTTACTAAAAGTCTGTGCCATCCAAGAGAGACACTAAACCTAAGGGAATAGTCTAAGTTGTCACAGTGAAATTTAAGGTGTGCTGATGGATTCTCATCATCAGCTTATGCATTGAGTGACATTACAAGTTAATGTTCCACCTTAAAAGTTGCCGGCAGTTGCCCCAGTGAACAAAGCTATTTTTTTCTCTTTCATTTTATAGTTGTAGTTTACTGATGTATGAACAGAGGTTACATAAAACCAGAGTGAGCGTCCCCTACTGACCAATCAGACTGCAGTGTTCACAGCTCCACCTTTTAGTACCAGATCTGTGTGCTAGGTACCCCAACAGAGGGGGGACCAAACATGAGGACAGTATGGAACGGTTCCACTGGTACCATCCACAACTTTTAGCAGTGGAAACGGGGCTAAAAAAAGAAAAGAAGAAAAGACAAAAAACTTTGCAGAACTTCTTAGTGGTCCAACTTCGACTTAGTTCTGTAGACAGGTAGTTTTTCAAGGCAAAGCGCATTCAGATTAGTTCTTGGGTTGGATAATTGGGCTCACTGTGTCACCAGTTATGAGTGGGTAAAATATTGGTTCATAAGAGATCAGTGTGATGTGTGAGTTAAAAAGAAGTTCCAGGTTGTACAAAAATGCACATTTATTGAGCTAATTTAACACCAGAGACTTAGATGTTTTCCAAACCCAGCTAGCGATAAATTCAAGGTCACAGATCATCTCATTGTGCCACTGTAAATGTTTGTAGTCCAAAAAAAAAAAAATAGAAAAAGACCACCATGATCAAAGTTATCATTTTCTCATTACATGTTATTTTTAAGTGTTCAATAATAATATTGTCTGTTTTGCAAAGTCTTTTTAACGGAGGTAAAATATGGATTGCGACAACGTGTGAGGTTGCAGAGCCATTTTTAAATGTGTAGCAGATTCTTTGTGATATAGGCTACAACTACATGAGTTTAACACTAATAATCCATGACGACGTGCGTTCTGTTGAAAAGAGATCACTTTTGTGGGACTGTGCGTGGTTTTTGAGAAGATACATGTACGTATTTGTGTGTTTATTTTTTTATATTCCTGTACATAGACTCTACAGCATGTGTAGACCACCATGTATTTCTGTTTATTTGATATGAAAAATGTTCTTATGGCTTGTATAAAACTGACTTTGCATATTTGTAACATACATCGATGTATAATAGGAGACAATGTATGTGTGTATTCATGTAATCCACCAGGCCTACCACTGTCATGGCAGCTAAGTGTATGAGAAAAGGCCTTTGTTGGAGATGTTATATTTCGGAGTGCTGTACTCTGTGTAGGATGTTTGTAGAGAAGAGCGAGTCTGTTTCAAGCAGTTGAGGTCCACAACATGTACCATTAATAACTGACTGTTTTGTTTATTTGGAAACTGCACATCAGAACCCTCGGTGGCTTCAAACTCGGCCGCACAAGTTCTTAACTGTAAATGTATTTTTATCTCATTGATTTTCGCAGAAATGGCTCCATCAATAACCGTTTTTATACCTTCCAGTTCATCAAATGAAAGCACAACTTTTTTTTCCACTGGAGCCCTTTTTATGTTTTTTTAATTGTATTTTGCATTTATTTTACTACAAATTTACATTAGATTTTAATTTCAGATTAACTCAGTTGATCCTCAACCGCAGTATTTGCTCAGTTCAACTGGAAGTAACCTGAATCCTCTCTAAACGAATATATTTGACATTTTTGGGGTATAAGGTACTCTGAGATTTTGTCATAGAAACTCCAAAGTTTAATGCTTTCTCCAGCTCACTGCTGAACTTGTTATGAGCATACTCATAGAGCTGGAGTTATATCCTGGTAGCTTCTGTTACTTAACTCAGGGTCCTTTTCGAGTGCTGCAAGAATGAGTCCTAATACTTGAAAATGAGTTAGCATTTTAGCACTTCAGGTTCCCTCGTCTTGAAGTTGATGTTACTTTTTTTAATGGGTTTTTGGTATGATGCACGGATTAATGTCTGTGTTTAACACAAGCTTAAGTAGATGTTCTGTGAATCCTTAAAAAGTCTCAAAAGCATTGAATTATTAATCGAAAAATAAGGCCTAAATTTATGTAAGTGTCTTAAATCAATCTATCAAAAGTCTTAAAGATTTTAAGATGTGGGAGGTAGGATTTTTTTGTCTGGCATAGTATGTAAAATGTCAAAAATAATTGATCACATCTTTACAGAGTGCCTCTCGCAATAACGTCATGCAGATCAGGATAGCCAAGTGACATAGGGAGTGCAAATTCAACGAAAAATGGCCATTTTACCAAGATATTGTGGCATGATTGAAACCCGTACATCGCAATGCGTACATAGCTCAGTGTATTTTACGCAAAAAGTTTTTCAAACTTAGTATGACGGGAATTCAGGAAATGGAAACCTTACACGCAGAGTGAGAAACACAAAATCGCCCCAAACATTTGGGCCAAATTATCCATAACACTAAGTAATTGATGTCAAGCCATGTTGTCTTAAATTGGTCTTAAATTTTATTCTGAGTGTCATTAAAAAGTCTAGAAAACGCTTAAATCTAACTTCCCTTTAACTGTAGGAACCGTTAAGAAATGTTCCTGCTTTGTTCTATGACATAGAATGCATTAGTAAATACCCCACTTGTGAATTTTAAAGCTTTTACATATCTTAAAAAAGGCGGTTACTAACAAGTGGCTACATGAGGCTACAGAGGTCACTGCCGAACACGGCTTTACATCCTTGTTGTGGTGGTAACACCAGTCATGTGACTGTGGTGTAGTTTGTTTTTAGACTAACGTTAGCTTTTACTTTTTGGTGAGAGAACCAGCGCTATGCTAACCAGGTCGGCTTACAAAAAAACCACTACAGCTTTTTCCAAAGCTCAGTTGTCAACACGTGACAAATTATGGGTGGTCTTTGGTTCGTTTGGTTGAAAGCTAGTAAGAGGACCTTGAGTTAACATTATTTTGATGACAAATCTACTTCTGTATTTCACAGATAAGTTTCAAAATCAAGAGGTTCGAGGAAACTTTGGGGCCACTAACACTCGCTCTAACAATTAGAGTGTGTTCCCTAAAATGTGTTTTGTTTTTTTTTGTATTATTTTTTAAAAGATCATCAGTTCATGGTAGTTCTGCCATTTTTTATTTTTCTAGTTTCAAACATTTTTGATATTGTACAGTATGTATTTGTAATATATAGAGGATTAAAGGGTTAAATCAGCTTAAGAGATCACACAGCACTTCATATTTGGAGTAATTCAGAAAGGTTTGTGCGAATCGTCTCGTTCTGGCCCTCAACACATCGGCATGTGCTGCAGCCATACATGTCACCAAATCTTTGGCCTCGCTGATTGTAAAGTCAATTTCAGAGCATAGGAAACAGTAAATTTGACAGAATTACTATTAAGGAATAACAGAGTAATCAATGCAAGGGGTTAAATATGTGTGTGTGGGGCGGGGTAGCACTTAAAACTTTTAGATACCGGTGCCATTATGATACCTGAGTTACTTAGATGAAAACTTTTCTAAGTGTATCTTGTAATTCACACATCCAGTGCTGGTGCTGAAAAAAAAAAACTTTTCTGTTGATTTGATATAGTGAGCTCAACTTTGTCGTGCAATTATACAGTATCTTTTCCAACGAAACCAAAAGTGTTTTTTCATTTCTGTGCCAGAACGGTTTTAAACCCACGGGCCTCACTCGTGCATGAAACAGGTTGATATCCATGTGTGTAAAAGTATATATAGAGAGAATTTCTAGAACAGTAATAATAACATTTTTTCTAACTTTTAACGTGATCCGTTTATATATTGCCACTTTTACAAGTTATCGATTTAAGATGCCATGTATTGTAAAGTATCTTGTAGAGACAAGGTCACCAAATGATGCATTATATACTGTTTGTTTCAACATTGTCACATTATGAAACTATACCAGCCCATTATTTGAAAGTGCTGTTACTCTGACATTACATCACTCTTTTGTAAACACTTGCTATGTCGCAATAAACTGCTCTTGAAGATTGTTACGTATTTTATTGTCAATCATATATGTATGAACGATCCTCTCATGACAGACACTGATGAAACAGAGGGTTAACATTTTAAAAACAATACATGTTCCAGTTACTTTGTGTTTTATATCATAAAATTGCATGACATGGTGGTGCTAGTGACAGGTAAAGGAAGGCCCCATTAATAAACTTGTGTTTTTGAAGTTTCGTGTTAAGAGGCGGGAGGTACAGAGGGAGTTAAGTGATGTAGAGAGGAGCAAGAATAGCATCTTATGCTTTGGGTACAGGTGTAAAGTACATGGTAGAGCACATTTTGAGTCCGTATATCTCAATGAAAATGTGTTGAACTTAACTCAATCTGACTGAGCTATCTCTACCATTCAGTTTAAGTATGCTATGCTAAAAAAGTCCACTAGATGTCACTGTGTCTTTAAATAGTATGCCTTTCAAGTCACTCCAGACATTAGGGGTGTGTTCCGAATCTGAATACATTGTCTTTTTACTTTAAGTAGGTCTTGCAGGTGCCCTTAAAAAGTATGTACTGTCTCATAACATTACACCCTGAACTTTGACCCTCATGCTTTTATATCTGTTACCTTGGAGAAAAACAAATGCCACTTACCAAGTTCGCCAGAGATGGAGATCAACCCGGGAAGCTCTGCCATTGTTATTTTGCAATGTGTGTAGTTTAACTTTAAAGTTATAACTGCACAG